GCATGATCTCAAACTCCTTTACAAATTGTAAATAATCAGCCGGGTTTCCATCAAAACATCGTGGTTCTAATTTAGGGAGTTTGATGTTCCTATTATCCCTGAACGGCGAAACAGTAACATCAACCATATCATGTTTAACATCAGACACATCGTTACAATTAACAGACAAGTCACCATGACTTACTTTCCTGTTTGCATCCAAGACACTCTGTCCCTTCTTTGACCCAGGCATTGTTGAACTTGACCAAATTCCAAAAAAGTTCCAGATATTGCTTGTTCAAAGAGGACTTGACCGGCACCAGGAACGATGAACGGCGACTATCCAAACTTTCACCAACTGTTTGAATCCGCCAGATCTGTTTCTATCGTCAGAAACTGTCAGTTACCGTCTCATAAACCGTTAATGCCCAGCTCTCGCTACGCTCGGGCCCACGCTGTTCCTTGGAGTTTTCAGAAACGCTTAGTTATAACGGACGAAAAAACCAAAACACCAATTGTTGACTTGAGTATTATGTATTGTTACACCAGCAAATAAATCAAGTATCACTAAGCAAACTAAGAAAACTAAGGTCTGTAAACAAATATTACAATAATAAATCGTTATGTTACTTCTGACGATATTTAACTCTTCTTTCTGAACAGCGACCGATGAGACGATGACTGTCGTATTGATGCCTCCGCGAAAATCGAGGAAGTTGATTTTAAGCAAACAACCAAGAATTGATCGTTCAATCTTCAACTCCATTGACAACAACACTCACACAATCGAGTAACTCGTCAAAATCAACTGAAACCAAGCACGGTCAGCCAACCACACTACCTCACCCTAATCCTAACATCGAATACTCCATTCAATCGTCCACAATCCACTATGGGAAATAGTGTGGTGATTGACTATTTCTATCTCTGTATTGTTTAAATACTTACTGTTGATTGTTAATATGTTTCTTATATGAATTGAATATAATTCCGCTAAATACAAATCCCTGAATTCCGCCCTCTCTGTGTTTTGGTTGGATTCTTGTAATTCGGTCATCTCGAAATACTAATACTACGATTACAAATAATTACAACAAATTGGCGTCGCGATGGGACTAAATAACCTTGGAAAGTTTCCTATAAATGGTTCACCGCGGGAAATTGCTAATTACCTTGAATGCTTCGATGCATGGTGCATTTCAAAGAACGTTCGGGATGACAAAATTCCAGCACATTTCATTACTGCTATTGGGCTAGATGCATACAGCCCTAGTGAAGAATCTGGCGTTTCCAGATAAACATATGACACGATCCGTGAACTTCTGATACATCACTTTCATACAACTACTTTTGAGACCAGAGATTCAATAAACTGGTTCGTGCTCCCAATCAGAAGATTAGAGACTTCATTCTTCAACTTCAAATACAAGCTTCAAAGTGCAACTTTGGAGATCACCTGTATACTCAACTACGTGATCGTCTGATTGCTGGCTGGAATCAATATTCCTAAGTTAGAGAAAGAGTTAATTCAGATTCCTTCTTGTACCTTTCAAACTGTTACAGATTTATGTATTACATATGAAGATGTCAACAGTGAATACTCTGCTCTCACTACGTCAGTATCTGATGTCATGTTGTCCAAAGTCGAAAATACAAGTGGTCATGGAAAGCAATCCAAACTGTTGTCCACAGGTAATAGAATGCAGCCGGAGATCAAAAACACTAAACCGTGTTTATCCTGTGGAAAGTTACATCTACGAAGCACTTGCCGTTTTCGGGGTGCTAAGTGTCACAAATGTGGTAAAGTTGGACACATCAAGACTGTTTGCAAAAGTTCGAATACTTATGTTACTCAGAATTCTTATAATTCTCCCAATCTGTTTAGTAAAATGTAGTCAATGTGTCTTTCAACTTTTCAAAATACTCAATCTCATCCAATGAAAACCTTCACTACAAGTTCGGCAACTCGAACGTCAACTGCTTTCAAAAATGTGGTAGCCGAGTTACAATGTGAACTATCGAAAACACGGAAAAAACTGAATGAGATGAGGGAGCAACTGATTAGAATGGAGGAATTGCTGCATATGCACAGACTGCGTCTGTTGAATGCAGAACATACAAGTACCCATGAAAGTCCTGAAAAACTATTCAAATCTCGAATTCTCAGACACACGACAGACAAACGAACCAACCCACCAATCAGCCACCCAGCCAACCAAGAATCAAACAAACAATCTCCCTCCCTCCCACTATCTCTATCACTACCTCCCTTCCTCTCACACACACACTCACACACCCCACTACAAACAACTACAAGGGCGCGAACACACAAGACCACACACACACACACACCTACACACGAGGAGAGTTGAGAGTACAGGCAGGAAGCGTCACTGTGGCATTGGTGTTGGGAGCCGTGAATCGGAGTACTGGTCTCTGTGTCATCGATTGACTCACTGACTGACTCACTGACTGACTGACTGACTGGCTGACTGAATGGCTGACTGACTGACTGATTGACTGATTGACTCATCGATTGGTTGAGTCGACGGAGGAAGATGATGAGTGGGACTCAGTCAGTCAACTCTGAATTCACTCCACAATGATTTCTCTCTCACCATCTATCTGTCTATCGATCTATCGGCGTCTATCTGTCAATCTCTCCGAATCTCGCTCTCTTTCCCTGTCATCACGAAATCATTAAATCTCGTCAGTCAAGTAACTTAACAAAAGGTTCCTATTATCTCCGAGTAGGCTGTCAATGCAGTTGAAGATTGAACGATCAATTGTTGGTTGTTTGCTCAAACCAACATCCCCAATTTTCGCGGAGGTATCAATACGACAATCATCGTCTCATCGGTCACTGTTCAGAAAGAAGTCAGCAGTAAACCATCAGAAGTAAAATTGTGATTTATTATTGTAATATATGTTCACAGACCTTAGTAGAATTATTTTTTATATGTTCGTGTTACAATAAAGAATTTTCGAGTCGCCAAACTGAGTTTTGGTTTTTTCGTCCGTTATTACTAAGCGTTTCTGAAAAACTTCAAGGAACAGCGTGAGCCCGAGCGTAGGAAGAGCTGGGCATTAACGGTTTACGAGACATGGCTGACAGAGGCTTAAACCGACAATTACTCTACACAACTTTGACCTAAACTCAAAAACACAAAGGCTTTTAATAAGTTCTATTGTTCGGAAGTTAAAATCAATACTCGGTACAAAGTCTCTCAAGAAATGTTTAACATGGAATGTCCTGCAATTTCATTCGTATTCTTTGGTCTTCTTCAACGTTGGACACGATTGAAATACTCGCGTCTTCGATTTGATCACCAATAACTACTAAATTAAATTAACAAACGTTCAATTTTCTAATAATTTACACTCCCTGGCAAAAGAGGGTCCATCCCGTTTTTCCATCATGCCGATAACCTTGAACTGAACTGAACTGCCAACGCTTGAACCTGGGCCAACAGGGACTAGACTAAAATGGAAAGCAAGACACAAAAGCCCAACACACAACAAGCATACCACATCAAACCAGTACGCCTCCCCGATTGTAGGATCTTCCTCAGTAATCCGAACTTTCCTTCGCCCTTTGTCGACAATACCACCACTGATCTGCTACTCGGGGTGTTCGTTGCTTTGTTTCACTTTAACACATTCCCCCACTTCGGCGTATCAAATCGCATACACTGACTCTAACACTACTCGATTCGTTCACAAGTTTAGAAGACTAGAAACGACTTCAGAAGTACTTACAATAACATTACAAGATGATTCACACAATGCGACAACTATAACATTAACGAATAATTAAATGAATTGAAACCCAATCAGTTACTTAACACAATATATATGTACAATCAATACATCAAATGTCGTGGATTCTGCCTTGACGAGCTACCCTTGAAGAATTGTACGACTTACAGCAGTACGCCCACATTCCTTCGAAGGTTCACGATCCAAGGGGAGAGAGGTCCGAACACAAACAAAATTTATCAACAGGTAGATGAAAGATGATTCCAAATCAATATGCACAACATGAACACATGTACAAAATAACACAAGAAGTACAATAAACTGCGCTTCGATGTACAACTCTTGAAGAATTGTAGGACTTACAGCAGTACGCCTACAACCCTTCTCAGGTTGACTTTCTAAGTTGGAAAATCATCGGATTGTCCAATCTCGGATCTGTCATCTAACACATCAAACAAGCTTAATCTTCGAATATCTCGCAACAACGTGTCATATTTCGTCCAAACTTCCACTGTACTCACCAACCCGTCATTACTGCATATTACTCCTAGAGGTTATTTACCTGTAGAAGTCTTATCCACCACTGCCTCCTCTGCCTCGATAAGAGTTGACCTGAGTAATTCCACTGAGTCTATATCAAGGATCTGCTCTTTACCAAGCACGTGGTTAGTATTACTGATGCTCTCTAACCATGTATCATACTTAATCGTATCCCTCAATATCCGTGTACCGACGATATTGTCAACTTCCAGCTTTCTAAATCCGTGCATTTTCAAATCATCACCCCGAAACACCACAGCGTAGTTTTTCATGACTATAGCTCCATTGATCAGGATCATTGGCCCCACTACCACTCGAAAAGCACCCTCCCTCGGTATTATTGTTTTCTCGTCCAAGCGGTAATTAATACCCTCATACTGGGCCATACTACTCATCGACTCCTGACGGCGCCCATACAACCCTTTGTCATCAACATGATAGACATCATCCAAACTGCATCCAACAGCAAAACCGTAGTTGGATGTATAAAGTCCAGGTCGATTGATCCCCACCAACCTCTCCTTCATCACTTCTTTAACTCGATAATTGCAATCTCCAATTACAGGCCAACTGTGCGACACCGTCTGACTAACACTAGGTCCAAACAACACCTCCGCCCAAGGTATTACGCCAAGACATGTAACACCCATCGCTCCCTCCGGAAAGCCCAATTCAACTCCTCTCTCCCCCTTATCATCCAAATTGATCTCCCACTTATCCACTCAGGAACTCATACTTGTTATTGCTTTTGACACTAATCTTCTTACATCAAGCACATCTATTACTCTTGCTGTAGAGGAATATCTAAGAGCGGTGTATCCATTCCCAAAATAATCAATGTACTCAAGCAAATTCATCTGCACTAGGACACCCCAACTCAGTCCCGCGTCACCGTCATCCTTTATGACCTTATCATCCAGTCCAGTCATTAAGCCCACTTTCATACCCCTTCGCTGTTCAGTGGCCATGCATATCATTCCTAACATACTCCTATTGTATTTCAACTGTTTATAATTGAGACCCGGAGTAACAATCTCTTTTGCCCATCGACCATTGATTAAGGCAGGGTTGAACTCACACTCAGTATCACAGTCTTCAATATCTATGACTATGTCTCCATCTTCTCTATTTCCCCCTACCTCCAGGACATGGTACTCCAACACGACACTGGTATCACTGCATAAATCCAGAACCAACGTACTATACCCAGAAGTGACGTATGAGTATGTTATTTTACAACGTGTATTCTCTGCACTCCACAAGCCCAATACTAATGACTCATACTCCTTTGGAGTCTTCTTCCCTTGTTGTAACACGCTTACCACCCTTCGATGTCTGGGGGATAGCTTGTACGGTTCTTTTTCCAAGTCCACACCATTCATAAAATCAAGATAATCATTTAAACTGATCCGCCACACTATCGTTTTCATGCGTCGCCGGTAAAACTTCGTTAACCAATTACACGGTAACTCATCGGTGTTTAACAAACCTGCCCAACTAACATCATTTTCAGCCAGATCTTGCAATACTCTGTCCTTGAAAATACTTAACAACACCAATCCTACATCAAACGACCTAATGAACGATCTAACTCGTCGAATGCAATCAACCAACTTCCATTGACAATTAGTGGTACTATCTAATAATTTAGCGACCAATACTTTCGCTGGGTTGGCACAATTTAGTATCTCCAAAGCCGCTCCCTTCAAAGCAATCGCTCTATCAAACCCATGACCCAATTCTACCTGCACCACAACGTTGTTCACATCCTTCTCCACGGGTTTACCATCCACCAACTCCCAGCTTGAATGATACCGCTCTACAGTTATGTTAGGCACTATGACTCTCCCCTGTCTAATAGTGTTGCCAAAATCATCCTTCTCTTGTACAGCCAAACCAAAATAATCCAAATAATGAGCTTTCAAGCGATGCTGGATGCTATCGATGTTACCATTTAAACTGTGCATTAATTTATTCCAATTGGACTGTAAGGCCTTACTATAACTGGACTCGCTACCGAGATGCTGTTCATCTAGTATACCAATAAATACTTCCTTGCTAGAATCACAACAGCCTTGGTAGAAATCACACATATACTCAGACCTGCACAATCCATTTTCCACCAACTGTCTTAGGGCACTATTTTCTAAGTTCACTTTCAACTTTTCCTTTAGATACTTCAAGTTTCTAAGTCTGCTGTCCAAATCATGTACTTCTTCTTCTACATCCATTGAAATAATCAGATTACACGATCTTTGAACACTCAACTCCCTCAGGCAATAGGAAGCCTGCCAAAGCATAACTTTATTATCACGCCATGACACTACAGCCCCACACATGCGGTGCACGTCCATGTCCCAATTCTTAAACAAACGGAAAACCCTGTTGATGGCATCGTTCTTACGCCAGGTTTCAAAAGCATGAAAACTGTTTATAAAACCAACAGGAACGAGATCAACCACCTGTCTGTTCTTGTCTGCCAGCTCCGACGAAATTCGTTTGACATTTGAAGCTTGAACTAAGCCCTTATCTGCTTCCCCTTCTAACCAACGCTTCGAGCGATGGTAGCCATAAGATTGAAGAACAATCACTTCATTGAGGTGACAACCCAACACTTTCACTTCTGGCGAAACATCATCAACATCAAGCTTATCATGCTGAGCATCATACACATCATCACAAATAACAGGCAACTCAACATCACTTACTTTTGTGTCTGCTACAAAAAAGCCTCGTCCCTTCTTCGACCCAGGCATCATCCAAAGTCACCAAAAGATCCTTATTACGTTGAGATAATCCGTCTCCAAAATTCCTGACAGAAGACCTAGTAAGTACTCCCCAAAAGAGTTCCAAAAGGCGCCCAGAAGATCTAAGAAGAGAATAAAGACAGTCAGTCAAGTAATTTAACAATAAGTTACTTTTATCTACGAAGACTCGGGCTACTCTAAAGAATAGCAGCCCAAACCGACACGACCTTCGAACGCACATGTGACCTTGAGCAAGGAATCAGGTGACTGTTAGTTCCAGAGGTAATTATGGATGCTCTACATCTTTCGCGTTGCAAACTCGCTCCGGATCTTGTTTTGATTACTGTTTGGAGAACGGACTGTTCCAGAACCTATGTCGTTCGTTTTGAATTTACAGATTCCTTAGGTACTTTTGATAAGAAAATATAATCGAGGGAGATTGAGTGTGAATCAGAAATAGCTATCCCCAATATGTTGGGGATATATGACACCAGCCTCCAGAAAAGATATATTGAGGCGATCCCTGATCGCAGTGCAGGTGTATTATTGCCTGTTATCCAGCTCCTAGTGCTGCCTGGGACGACTATTTATACAGATGAATGGAGTAGTTACAGTCAGTTATTGAATCTGGGCTAAATTCATCGGGTGGTCAACCATACAAATGGTTCTCTCAATCTTTTTGATGGAACTGACACCAATATCATTGGAAGTGTATGGAGTCTTCTAAAAAAACACCTATAAGATCTCCGAATGGATCAAGAAATGCAATAATATGCAGTTATCTCGATGAGTTCATCTACAGGACTGGGTTTAACATGAGAATCAAAACTCCTATGAGAAATTGGGAGATTTTTTTGCAACATATACGAGAACGTTGTCCTTTGTAACTATTTTTTAACATTACATTCCTTATATAGAAACGATTTATCACAATTATGCGCCGATTTCTTTGAGCCTTCTGATTGGTCGAAGTTGTCCTTGTGAAGGTCATTTGTCCGTTCGCTAGGTCGTTCCGGTTTGGGCTGCTATTGGGTGACTCTAAATAATAGCGGCCCAAACCGAAACGACCTTCGAACAAAATGTGACCTTGAGCAAGGAATCAGCTGACTGTATCGTTTGCGGAAGTAGTCATGGATGTTTTCGATTACTGTTTGGATAACGGACTGATAGCTTTGTCGAAAATTTGCCAATGCGGAGGAGTTATGCATATACAAAAATACACAGAGGCCATTGATGGCTTTGTATACAGATGTATTGAGTGCCGAAGGAGGAAATCGGTTCGAGAAGGTTTGTCGTTGTTTTTTAGTTTACAGATCCCTTAGGAACTTTTCTCTCAAGGTCTAAACTACCGTTGACGAAAATTTTAATGATCTGTAACTTGTGGGTCCTGAAAAGACCAGTTACAGCTACAGCTTATGAAACAGAAAATTTAGAGGTGTCAGCAGTGCAATGGTACAACTACTGCAGAGATGTTTCTTCCTAGAAAATGAACACCCTGACTCAAGTTCTCGGAGGAGTTGGCAGCATAGTCCATATTGATGATACTGTACTTATAAAAAGGAAATATAACCGCTGGAGATTACAAGCAAACCAGCAGTGGATACTAGGTATCTACGACACGACACTGCGCAAAGTATATATAGAAGCGATTCCCAATCGCAGTGCAGCAGTATTAGTGCCTATTATTAAGCGTTTGGTGTTGCCGGGGACGACTATTCATACAGATGAATGGAGCGGATATCGTCAATTATCGAATCATGGGTACATTCATCATGTTGTTAATCATACGGACGGTTTCCGGAATCCTTTGGATGGAACCTACACCAGTTTCATTGAAAGTTTTTGGGGTCGTCTAAGAAGACGTATAAGAGCGGTTAATGGATCGAGAAATCCCATGATTTACAGTTACCTGGGTGAATTTATGTACTAAAACTGGTTTCATATGACTATGAAGACTCCCATGAGAAACTAAGAAGTTTTTTTGCAACATATACGCGAACGCCAACCTTTGTAACTGTTTATTATGATTGCATTACTTCTATACAAACTGTTCTTTACAATTATGCGCCTTTCTTTTTGAGCCTTCTCATTGGCCAAGGTGTCCCTGTCAAGGTCATCTTTGCGTTAAAAGGTCGTTTCGGTTTGGGCCGCTATTCTTTAGAGTCACCCTGCTATTGTTTGGAGTGGCCGACTCTCGAGCTGACAATTACTCTGCACAATACTGATCTCACATCCAAAGCACAAATAGTGCTTATAAGTGGTATTGTACAAAGTCAATAAACGAATGTTTTACAAGGAATAAACTTTACTTTAATCCGTTTTCCTTCGCCTCCCACACCCCACCAACTTGTACACGACCGAGACAGAGGATAGCGGCACAAATGGCTTATGGAGAGGCTGAGCACTTGAAGGTCACATATAAACATTGTGTGATTGGGTAATTCAACCGTGCGTAAACGCAGCGGCAATACGGAATAGGCGTTATCTGCTGAATGAAAATAGCGTGAAAGTGCTGTTTTTAGTGTGTTATCTGTGACGACGTGCTGGGATTATTCAACCGAATTTTGAAGAGTAAAAGCTATAACTCCTGGGACGCATTCGAGGGTGCTTTCAAAGAGTTTAACAAAGTTGTACAAACTCATTATGTTGTCAGAAGTAGTCGGATTGACAGGAATAAACGGATTTTGAGATACGAACGGGTAGATTATGTGTGTGTGTGTGTGTAGATTTGGTCAGAAAAGAAAAAGCCGATCAGAAGGAGTCAGACCTGGAACACCGTAAGTGTATAAATTTTCTTGAATTATTTTTTCTCAGTTTTAAGTGCATGGATTGTCCGTCTGGTTTTAGCGTGAACAGTATTAATGGATGTGTTGTTGTTGTTGTCGGTGATATGAGGGGTGATCATAATCATCCGTGTACACAAGGTTATATGATGGTTGACCATAGTAGACGCGTCTACTATGCATACGTAGACGACTGCCTCATTGCCAGTCCAGACAAGGAAACTCACCTTAGACATTTGGACTTGGCATTCGAAAGGTTACGCCAACATGGTGTTACCATTAATATTCAAAAGTGTCGAATCGGTGTTGACTCACTCGACATCCTGAGTCACACTATTGACTGCAAAGGCATTCGCCCACTGGCTACTAAGGTCGAGGCTATACTGAACTTTCCAGAGCCACAGACGGTGAAAAGTCTCCGCACTTTTAACGGCTTGGTAAGTTATTATCGACGCTTTATTCCCAACTGTGCCTCTCTGATTCAGCCATTGACAGACCTTCTTCGAGGGAATAACAAGTCTATCGAACTTGACGCGTCTGCTCGAAATGCTTTTACCCAGATTAAAAAAGCCATTGCGAATGCCACACTTCTGATGTATCAGGATCCAACGGCACCGTTAAGTTTCTCGGTTGATGCATCAAACACTGCAATCGGCGCAGTTCTACAACAACTAGTTAACAAAGAGTGGCAACCACTCGCCTTTTTCTCCAGGCCCCTTCAATTAGCTGAAACGAAGTACAACACATTCGGCAGAGAACTTCTGGCTATGTACTGTGCTATACGTCATTTTCGACATTCAGTAGAGGGTCGTGAATTCACGATTTTTACTGATCACAAACCTCTGACGTACTCTCTGAACTCACCTTCAGATAAGTATTCACCCAGGGAATCACGACAACTGGATTACGTTTCACAGTTTACATCAGATATTCGCCATGTATCCGTAGTAAACAACACTGTGACAGATGTCTTGTCGCGCGTTTGTTCCCTCACCCAAGTCGACGGCATAGACCTTGTAAAACTGGCTCGTCTTCAAAAAGAAGATACCGAGCTTCAACATGAGTTCTCGAAAACAACTCTACAATTGGCTAAGAAACCGTTAGGTATGGGAAGAGATACTATTCTATGCAACATTTCCACGAGTACTCCTCGCTCCATCGTGCCTAAAAGTTATCGCCGTAACGTCTTCAATACGTTGCATGGCTTATCTCACCCAGGTATTCGAACTACTGTCAAGCTCGTAGCTAGTCGGTTTTGTTGGCCTAGCATTAATAAAGAAGTAAGGGAATGGGCACACAAGTGCTTAGCTTGTCAAAAGTGCAAGGTGATAAGACACACCAAAATCCCACTTGGCACCTTTCTTCTCCCTGACGCTCGTTTCGAACACGTCCATATAGATTTGGTTGGACCCCTTCCTGAATCCCATGGATATACCTATATTTTAACTTGCATCGATCGATTCACACGATGGCCGGAAGCACTACCCATCAAGGACGTATCTGCTGAAACAGTCGCACGCGTCTTTGTGGAAAGATGGATCGCTAACTTTGGATGCCCATCTTCCATAACAACTGATCGTGGGCGGCAATTCGAAAGTGGCTTATTCTTCGCCCTGACTAAAATCATAGGTTGCATGCGTTTTCGAACAACAGCCTACCATCCTCAAGCTAATGGTATGGTAGAACGTCTACACAGACAGT